AAGCCCGGTAATGACGCCCTGTGCTTTCCTGAGGTGGGGAAGTCAGGCGGGTGAAGCTCATGCGGCGCAGCCCCGCTCCCACACGCCACCGAGACCTGATCCTGCCGCTTTTCCACCCGGAACGGGGAGCGAAATTCAGCAGTCTCCATTTCTGCTCCGGTGGGGCTGGCTACAAAGAGACAGAGCCTCATCGCTGGCCTCCTGGCCGGCTACTCGGGCTAATTAAGAGGGAAAGCGCGGTGGTTTTGTGCCCCTGCCTTGCACACATACTTTTTCCCTCCCAAACCAGGAGAAAGCCTTTCCCCCAAACCTGGAAAAAGCCATGCAAAGGGCTCCTTGGCAAAAGATGTGGGAACACACCACCCGTCCCACCAACCAACCCACCAAATCACTTCTTTTTTTCGGCACAGCAGCATCTGCTGATGCACCGGGAACCCACGCCGAGCATCTTCCAACGCCATGGGCCAGGGATGTCGCCAGTGGACACGGCATCGCCCCCGACACCCTGAACCGGTTTCTTTCTGGCGGCGAAAATAAACCCATGTTTTCGGCACAAAGCCGTGCCGGCGGCACCAAAAAGGTGACATCCACGTGGAACAGACGCCATCGCATCCCTAACGGTTGCACCGGGGGGTCCCGGTTGCAGCCAGGACACTGGGAAGCTCCTCGCCCCGAGGCCGCCTGCGTCCCTCAAATCACCCCAAAAGCAAACGTGGAGTTGGGTGGGTTGTTTTTTTTTGGTTATTTTTTGAGGTTTTTTCCACCAATTTGCCATGCCGGTCTGCATGGAGCCAGGTGCCCGTTTCCAGCTCGGACCTCCATCTTCCCGAGCGGCAGCGCTGCCCACCCACCCCCATGCCATCCAGAGACACAGGGTTGGGGGTGTGACACTAGTGGGACCCCCACCACCCACTTCCACCCCACACCCCGTTCCTGGGCCAGAAGGCGCACACATCCTGCCAGGGGTTAATTAGCTTAATTACCTGCGAGGAGACCCTTTTTTTTGGGTGGGATGGGGACACCCACCCCCCCATGACCCTTTTTTTGGGGGGGAACACCCACTCCACCCATGAGCCTTTTTTGGGGGGGACAGGACACAGGGACACCCATCCCCCCAACCCTTTCTGGGGGGGGACAGGGACACCCACCCCCTCATGACCCCTTTTTGGGGGAGACACCCACTCCACCCATGAGCCTTTTTTTGGGGGGAGACAGGGACACCTACCCCCTCCATGACCTCTTTTTTTGGGGGGGGACAGGGACACCTACCTCCCCAAGACCCCTTTTTTTGGGGGACCCACGGGGGAACCTGGAGTCGGGGGGACCCACGGAGACAGCGTGGATACGGGGGACCCAGGGGGACAACGTGGATGTGGGGGAACCACGGGGAGACCCGAGGTGGGGGGGACCCACGGGGGCAGCACAAACTGGGGGGGCACGTGGGGAGACTTGGGTTTTGGGGGACACACGGGCAGAACAGATGTGGGGGACCTATGGGGAGAGCATGGATAGGGGAGACCGGGGAGGGGGACGGGACCCATGGGGACAACGTGGATGTGGGGGACCCGCGGGGAGAATGTGGATATGGGAGACCCACGGGGGAACCTGGAGTCGGGGGGACCCACGGAGACAGCGTGGATACGGGGGACCCAGGGGGACAACGTGGATGTGGGGGAACCACGGGGAGACCCGAGGTGGGGGGGACCCACGGGGGCAGCACAAACTGGGGGGGCACGTGGGGAGACTTGGGTTTTGGGGGACACACGGGCAGAACAGATGTGGGGGACCTATGGGGAGAGCATGGATAGGGGAGACCGGGGAGGGGGACGGGACCCATGGGGACAACGTGGATGTGGGGGACCCGCGGGGAGAATGTGGATATGGGAGACCCACGGGGGAACCTGGAGTCGGGGGGACCCACGGAGACAGCGTGGATACGGGGGACCCAGGGGGACAACGTGGATGTGGGGGAACCACGGGGAGACCCGAGGTGGGGGGGACCCACGGGGGCAGCACAAACTGGGGGGGCACGTGGGGAGACTTGGGTTTTGGGGGACACACGGGCAGAACAGATGTGGGGGACCTATGGGGAGAGCATGGATAGGGGAGACCGGGGAGGGGGACGGGACCCATGGGGACAACGTGGATGTGGGGGACCCGCGGGGAGAATGTGGATATGGGAGACCCACGGGGGAACCTGGAGTCGGGGGGACCCACGGAGACAGCGTGGATACGGGGGACCCAGGGGGACAACGTGGATGTGGGGGAACCACGGGGAGACCCGAGGTGGGGGGGACCCACGGGGGCAGCACAAACTGGGGGGGCACGTGGGGAGACTTGGGTTTTGGGGGACACACGGGCAGAACAGATGTGGGGGACCTATGGGGAGAGCATGGATAGGGGAGACCGGGGAGGGGGACGGGACCCATGGGGACAACGTGGATGTGGGGGACCCGCGGGGAGAATGTGGATATGGGAGACCCACGGGGGAACCTGGAGTCGGGGGGACCCACGGAGACAGCGTGGATACGGGGGACCCAGGGGGACAACGTGGATGTGGGGGAACCACGGGGAGACCCGAGGTGGGGGGGACCCACGGGGGCAGCACAAACTGGGGGGGCACGTGGGGAGACTTGGGTTTTGGGGGACACACGGGCAGAACAGATGTGGGGGACCTATGGGGAGAGCATGGATATGGGGGACCCGGGAGGGGGACGGGACCCATGGGGACAACTTGGATGTGGGGGACCCACGGGGAGAATGTGGATATGGGGGACCCACAGTGGCAAAGTGGATATGGGAGACCCACGGGGGGACCTGGGGCGGGGGGGGTCCTCGGGGACAACTTGGATGTGGGGGACCCACGGGGAGAATGTGGATATGGGGGACCCACAGTGGCAAAGTGGATATGGGAGACCCACGGGGGGACCCGGGGTGGGGGGGCAGCACAAACTGGGGGGACACGTGGGCAGACTTGGGTTTTGGGGGACACACAGGGGCAGAACAGATGTGGGGGACCTATGGGGAGAGCATGGATATGGGGGACCCACGGGGGGACCTGGAGTGGGGGGACCCTCGGAGGGACAGTGTGGATATGGGGGACCCATGGGGGACCTGGAGTGGGGGGCACCCACGGGGAGAATGTGGATATGGGAGACCCACGGGGACACCTGAGGTGGGGGCGACCCATGGAGGCAGCACAAATTGGGGGGACACGTGGGGAGACTTGGATTTTGGGGGACACACAGGGGCAGAACAGATGTGGGGGACCTATGGGGAGAGTATGGATATGGGGGACCCACGGGGGGACCTGGAGTAGGAGGGACCCACAGGGACAGCAGAGATGAGGGACACACGGGGACAGTGTGGATGTGGGGGACACACGGGAACACCTGGGCTGAGGGGACTCATGGGGACAACGTGGGTAGGGGGGACCCACGGGGACAGTACAGATGGGGGGGACAAGCGAGGACAGTGTGGATGGGGCGCACGTGTGGGGAGACCTGGGTTTGGGGCACACACGGGGACAATGTGGGTATGGGGGACCCACAGGGGGACCTGGGGTGGGGGACACCCACGGGGAGACCTGGGTTTGGGGGAACCCATGGGGAGAGTCGGGTGGGGGGACCCATGGAGACAGCATGGATTTGGGGAACCCAGGGGGAGACCTGGGGTGGGGGAGACCCACAGGGACAGGACAAATTGGGGGGACACACGGGGACAGCATGGATGGGGGGGGCCAGTGGGGAGACATACAGGGGCAGAACAGA